TAATGAAGGCAGTGCCAGGGCCCACCAGGATGGCAGTCTCTCGTGTCACAGACATCAAGTCTGCTTTTGAGCTGGTAATTTCGAACACAGTGCTGAAGATCGTTCTGGATATGACCAATCTGGAAGGGAGACGTGTGTATGGGGAGGAGTGGAAGGAGCTGGACGAAATGCATTTACATGCGTATTTGGGTCTCCTCGTCCTGGCTGGGGTCTACAAATCCAAGGATGAATCGACAGCCAGCCTGTGGGACGCAGACATAGGCAGGAATATATTTCGAGCCACAATGTCTCTGGGGACTTTCCACATTTTCTCAAGAGTGATCCGATTTGATAATCGTGACACAAGAGCTGGCAGACGTGAGAGAGACAAGCTGGCAGCTATAAGGACAGTGTGGGACAAGTGGGTAGAGCGGCTTCTACTTCTCTACAACCCAGGAACTAATGTCACAGTGGATGAAAGGCTGGTGGCATTCAGAGGTCATTGCCCGTTCAAGCAATACACCTTCGAAACCGGCAAAATATGGCTTGAAAATATGGGCAGCATGTGATGCAAACTCCAGATATGCACTAAACCTGCAGGTTTACACTGGAAAGCCAGTTGGAGGAGCCCCTCTCTGGGGCTTCTCCAACTGGGTTGAATCAGGGCATGAGTCAGGGCATGAGGGTTGTGCTCGACATGGCACAGGGTCTTTGAGGTCACAACATAACTTGTGACAATTTCTTCACGTCCTACAACCTGAACCTGAAGCTCCTGAAGAGAAAGCTAACAATGGTTGGAACTGTACGAAAGAACAGAACGGAACTCCCTGCCGAAANCTGGTGATCAAGAACAGGGTCCCTCAATCCTCCAAGTTTGTGTTCACAGACACCACAACCCTAAAGCACTCTTAATTGCTGTTACAATAAAATACTTTCAATACGAATCCTTATGACTAATTTGGCTTGATTCTAAGTGAACGGGTCAATTTGACCCTGAACAGAAGAGGTGTCTATTTATCAACATCAACCAATTGTAAAACAAGTTGGAACATTTTAAAATTAATTTAAAACATGTTATGTCATGCTAAACTAATGTATTTTATATCAACGTTTTTCCAATGTAAAAAAGAAAATAGAAAAATGTGTTTGAATGTATATGTTTTGAGAAAAACGAGTGACCTATTCTAATGGAATCATGATCTGTGAGGGGTGAATAACACAATTGCACTAAATATTGATTTAATTGATAGTAATAAAAGGTAGAAACTATGTAAAAACAAAAATCTGGATTTTGGGGCTTCTGACAATTTTTGGATTATTAAACATGCACTGGGTCGAATTGACCCACGAATATTATTGCTGTTACAAAAAACGAATATAACAGGAGGGTAAAAGCTTTATATATATTCACGGGGTAGAGGGCAAGCTGTGCTGCCTGCTTCAAATGAAAGATAAATTGGACAAAATAAAGGATCACACTACAGAAGGGGAAACTGTTCCAACGCATTCATGTAACTGAGCTAGGATTTAATCTTGCCATACAGGGACGAAAAACTATTTTTGCTATCTCACATGGTTCATTTTGAACTGCTGCAACAGTAGCTTTGTAAGCTAACGATTATAATGTGTTCACATATAATATTTGAAGGTCAGATGGCAGTCATTTTGTTCTGCTGATTCCATCCCGAGGGACTTACAACGTGTGGCCTGTTATTAATAAAAGCATCTCTCTATTTAAACACCTTTTATGCCACCTATGTATTCACGATGTCTATGGTCGTACAGGGGAGGAGGTCAGGAGGATTAAAGCCAGAGGGAAGAAGCTGCTTTCTAGGTCTAGTGATTGACATTAGCTGATGCTTTGATCCAGTAGATGAGCCTATTGGAACAGTTTGCAGTCAAGTGTCTCGCCCAAGGACACTTTGACAGGCTGACCCTGTGATTGGTCAGAATCCCTCCTGTCCTCGGTTTTGCAAACACGATTTTATACACATCAATTTAAAGTCTAGACATAGTCAGAGACAGTGTTGGGGTTAACAGGCGTGTTACTGTAATCAGATTACATGTATCTGTTACACGCTACTGTTGATAACAGCAGTAAACACATGACAGATACTAAGCACGACACACACTTGAAGGTCTTCTGCATAAAGGGAGGACAGAAAAATAAATCAAACGTCCCTTTTCACTGGAGCAAACATGGCAGAGAGAAACAGACGGGAGTATTTAAAAAACGCCATTTTTAATTCAAGTTCCAGCTTTGCTTGCTCATTATTTCTGTTCCTTCCATATCATTTAAAGCTGTATATTTGGTATATGTATTTACTGAGCACTATGTATACAATATAATTCAATAGACATACAGTAGCCGAACAAGGGAGGGCTTATTAAAGCCAAAAAGAGGAATTTTGAAATGTAGTTTCCGTGTTGTAATAAAAGCGTACATGACTGCTGCGAGTCTCAGTCGGGAACACTCAGCAGAGCTTGTTGACAGGGTCTCATGTTTGAACTCTCAGGAACGATGGAGAAGATCAAGAACATGTTGGTAACTTTTAATGACTTCTACTCCGGCTTTCAGGTGAAGCAAACAGCGACTGATGCTATTTATAGTGTCAGCCATTATATCTGCATCAGTTTACCTGAAGAAAACTCAGTTCACTTGATTCTGCAAAGTGTGAGGCTTCCTGTGAGAATGAGACATTGGGAAATTAAATCCTAACTTTTGGAAGAACCCTACCTAACCCAGTGTTGTTTCAGAGACATGTCTATCACCGTCTGTATCGACATGTTTCTTTGCTTTTTTCTTATTTCTATTCAACTCTGGAGTGTTGATTCTATTTCTATCTGGAAGCTTTTGAGTGTGTTGTCCCACATCTCGTAAGAAGCATTTTTAATTGCCTCTGTCTTTTTATGTGTGGTTGCTGATGCCTTTTCATGTGTTTCCTTAACTGTGTCGTAAACCAAAACCCATATTATGCTAAATAATGCAAATGTGAAAATGTGTGTGCACGATAATGTGAAATCCATATGTCCAAGCCCTCTAACAAACGGCCAGGCTGCTGAAACCACTCCACACTGAGAAGTTTCCTACTGATTGGACTTGAGCAGAAACTCGCCAGACACTTGGAGGGTATGGATTTGTTCCCTCAGTTATCTGACCGCCCTGCTGCTCTACAGTACCTGATGTCGTTGGAGAATTCCTTCTCAAAGCCCCGTCTGCTGCTCAGCTTCCAGAATATGAGCCCGATGAAGACCAGTAGGATGAAGATGAGGAGCAGAGAGCCCACGATGCTGCCGACGATCACCGCTGCTCTGTTTGGAGCTGTGAAAACAAGGAATCAATACAGTGGGAATCATCCATTATTGTGTTATTTTAACTGCGCAGTGCAGTGGTGACTGACCTCTCCAGGGAAATAATGTCTTCTCACAAATCATAGATACAGATTGTATTGTCATTTTCAAATAAATATGTGTTTGTCTTGTCAAAGTGTCTAAGACAATAGGAAATTGGGAACAACGCTTATTTGTTGCTTCCTTGCCGAGAGTTAGATTACTATAAGAGTAACCAGGGGCGCCGTAAGGGGGTGAAAAGTTAGGACGATTCTGACTAACTAGACTGTTTAAGTAACCAATGTGATTATCTTTTCATGGGGCCCAAAATCCCTGGCGGCGCCCCTGAGAGTGACCGTCATCTGTAGGCTAGATCTACGGCAGCTATAGGTACCTTAGTTTAGTACAAAGACTAGAAAAAGTGAAAACTAAAATGGCATTTTGAAGAACGCAGGCTCCCGCCAAGGTCTAGATGTTGATCTGACTAAAGGTCAAGGAGGGTACATTTTCCAATAGCCTTCTCTCGTAATGTTATTCAACATGAAACTAAAATGAGATTAAAATGGAATCAGTTCTTTCTTTGCTAATGCTACACACTACCATCTTATACATTTCATTAAACAAGTGCATTAATGAACAAAGAAACACCCTCCAAGGCTCGCTCATCCCTGACATAACTATCTATCAGTTTATATATTTAAATATATTCAAACATTCGGATTCATACATATCTTGATATTACAAGGGATCATTAAAGTGTGTCTTCCCTCACAGACAGTAGATCACGACATCACTCAAATGTTAGATCTGGTTTGTTTTATTTGTACAAAGATGTGTTTTTATGAGGGGTTACATGGAGAGCTATTCTTTGCACGCACACACTTACTTCCCCAAGTCTCTGTAGGTTGCATGGCAACCTCACGGCGATGACAGGACTTTAGAAAATTTGACTATTTCTTGATATTTCTCTAACTCTTGGTGAAACCTAATAAGCCAGCAGGCTCCTTTCATTTCCCTCGTCCTTTAAGGCTTTGTAACAGGCTTAATATAATTCAATTACCCTTCCAAGCATTTCTCTAGACTAAGCTATATATTAATTGTCTGAACAAACTCAAAGTATGGAGATAAATAGCTTTCAGCATGTTTATAAGCTTCAGACGAAAAAGAGGTTTCTTTTCATCTCAGAATGAAAGGGCTAAATTGGTAAAAACATCCACTACAGAGCAAGAAATTGGAGAAAAGCCTGAAAAGTTAGAGGAATTTTTAGCAGAAGCCTTCATATTATTCTGTAATATATTGTAAATCCTCTTGCAACACCTCTAGAGGGGGGGCCTAAGCCTAAGGGTTGGAACCTATGATCTAGCACAGCACCCTGCATATGAAATGAAAGTGAGTGATGCTCTGCCTGGAGCTGAACGTCTGAGCACTGTGACTGGAATCTATGGATCCTGCTGGATGTAATATAAGGGTCTGCTCCACTGATCAGGAGGCACACAAAGACACAAATGTGTTATGAATCTTCTTTCGTGTAACGTCAGAGGTCCAACTCGGTGTCGTGTAGCCATGCCCGCATCTCTGGTCCTACGGCTGGCTTCCGAGGGTGGTCTATATAAAGGGCAGGTGGTTATTATATGTTCGGCAGTCTGTTCAGGGTCACCGCACTCGCATGCAGAACTGTCTGCCAGGCCGCTCTTCTTCATTGATGTTTTGAAGCGACCGACCCCAGTTCGTAGACGGTTTAGTGTGGTCAATTTCCGGCGTGGTAGGTCGTCGCCTATGGCGCCATCTCCTGGGTCCCAGATGTAGCGATGGATGCGGGAGGGCCCGGCTAGCTCCCACTCCTGCCTCCAAGCAGCCGCCAACCATGCATCTCTGGAGAGGTCCTCAGAGGTGGAATTGAGAATCTCTTGTGCTGCCTTGTTGAAGGGGAAGCGGGACTTGAGCCTAGAAGCGCTGCTCTCGTTGTTGTGTTATGCAGGATGTGCCAGTCATGCTTTTGGGCTTTCCTGGCCAGGGCGAGTGTGGCAGCCTCCCGTCGTGTTATGAATCCACAGAATGGAGAGTCTTTTGTTTCTCTGAAGAATCACAGACTGAGTTTCCTCCTGGTGAAGCTCTGCCATGTCTCTGTCTTCTTCTCTTCTTTCTTGTTTAGAAGTGATACTGCACATCAGATATGCCGTCAAAACGGAATGTCCTCTTACCTTTCACAGTGTGCCAACTTAACTAATATGATCAGGTGCCTATATGAGTGCACTTGTTGGCTGCTGCTGCCCTTTTTCTTCAGAATTTCTCAAGCTAATAGGAGGCTGTCGCCGACATCACTCATGTTAGACTCAGCGACTCAGCAGCAGGAAGTCAGAGCTGATGGGATAAACGCTTTGTCTTCTGTGAATAAAGCAATTATTCGCAATTGACTGTGACCTTATTCCGTCACCATTAGACAACTTAATAGGGAGCACACATTAATGTTACAGTGGTTAGACCCAGTGTAAGAGATCGTGGCAGAACTACAAAGAGAGGAGACTAAAGGGAAGGGAATGTGGGTCTTTCATGTTCACATGTGTGCGTCACGCTGTGTGTGAACAGGGACTTACTGTGTGTGTGTGTGTGTGTGTGTGTGTGTGTGTGTGTGTGTGTGTGTGTGTGTGTGTGTGTGTGTGTGTGTGTGTGTGGGGGGTGTTAGTTGCCTTACGTTTGTTGGCTTTCAGGTTGATCCGGCAGTGTGCGGCTCCTACAGCATTGTTCACTTCACAAAGGTAGAATCCTGCAGAGCTCTGAGAGTGGTTTCTGATTCTCAGCTCCCCACTCACGCCGTCTGAGAACACATGAACGCCCTCCATCACGGATTAAACAACGTACTGTACATGAGCTGCACATACATGGGGATACAATGCATGAGCTCTTAGGCTTTCTGATTTTACACATACAGTATGAAGATGTTTGAAGAGGAGGAGAGCTGTTGAAGGGCTATGATGCTTATTTTCAGGTTAATATTGATATTTGTCTGCCTCTACCGTGACATGTCTCCGTGCTTTAATGTTCAAAAAGCTCTTTATTTTTCTCATACTGCCTGTGCTGCTGCTCTAACCAATAGAAGCATGAGTGTTACAGAGTGATGTCACAATGTTACAGAAGTAAATAAAGAAGTGAGAGAAATACCCTTCCTTGGAGGGAACATTAAGATTCAACTTATTGTCACATAGTACAGGTACTATGTAACAAAACGGTTTCTCTGCATTTGACCCATCCTAGTGTTAGGAGCAGTGGGCTGCCATTATGTAGAGCGCCCAGGGAGCAGTGTAGTGAACGGTGCCTTGCTCAGGGACACCTCGGTAGCACTTGGTATTTCCGGGACTTGAACTGGTGACCTTCCAGTTGCCAAGCCAAGTCCCTATGGCCTTAGCAGACCATTTACATGCACAGGAAATGTATAACCCCAAAAAGCATATTAGGGTTCATTTAACACACATTTTTGTTACCAATGTGGACACGGTGCAATGCAATTTACACTCAAAAATGTCAACTAGATTTTATGTATATTTATATTATAAAGAGTGAGGGGGATAAAATGCATCCTAAGTTGATTATTACCAGTTTGACTGTAGATTTCTGTGTTGCGTATCAGTATTTCCTAATTCCTAGTTTTTTTAACCTGACTTTCTATTATTTTCATAGAATTTGAAACATCTGAATAAATAATGAGTTTGGACATTCGTTAATCTTGTAAAGTCCACACCGTACATTCAAAAAGAAAATGTGTTTTCATTGAGTTCTTAAACAGCTGTCCCCTGTCCTAACACACACTCTTTGATCTGCAGTAGCACCATGACATCAGCAGAGGTCACACTCACCCTGTGTAGCTGCAGTGGGGAGGGGGCCGGTGCTTTCTCTCCTCCAGCTGTACAGTAACGGAGTGGAGCCTCCTGCAGACAGGCAGTGTAGAGAGACAGCCCCCCCGATCAGCTCCCCCCCCTCCACCCAGCACTGAGGCACTGACGGCTTGGCTGGAAATCATACAACAAATGGATCATTTCACTTCCATTTCTATTCCTTTTTCTGGAAAAAACCATACAGCTTTTTAGCCTTAAGATGAAATTGGAGGAACCATTTAAAACCACCCACATGTTAGATGGTTGGCACCGACATTTATGCATTTTTATCTCTCAAAAATCCTATCAGCGTGCACATAAATAAAGTATACATTTGTAAATCGATAGGCTTGATGGGTTAGAGAAGGCAGAAACATGAAGTACAGTCCAGTTTTGGGAGATGAAAGAAGACAGCGATTGGTGGTGATTAGAGTGAGATGTATTGCGATACTCACTGACAAAAGAGCTTTAAATCACAACATTTCACACATTGGACTGAGTTGTTCCCTATTTACATTATAAAAGACGGAATCCTAGCTATCTACTTTCAATCGCTGCATTCTTTGAAGCACTTATCCTGCTCAGGTTCATACAAAAACCCTGATCTATAAAATGATTTGTTTGCTGTTAGGCTGAAAACAGCTTCAGGCTGTCTGTTGATATGGGAGCCTTTGAAGCAGATATTTATTCAACCATCTGCTAGTTTTTATCAAGCGGAAGGTGATATGATTTGATCGGCTTTGATACGGAGCAAGAGTGTTAAGAGAAAAGTCCTGAGAAAGACTTTGGGTAAGGCACCACAGGGTCAGCTAAAGTTCAACAATGGTTTATGCTAAATAAATCGTCCAAATGTTTCTTCCATAAAAATGACAATTTTAAAATGTTCGGAACTCTAAGCGTCAAACAGGGCGACATTTGACTGATTCTTGTAAATGATACTGAACTCACTCAGGCTAAAGAATATGTAGTGCTTTGGTTTGAGGGTTTGATTTTGGATTTGAGTTTTGAACCCTTAATTTCAAGTCTTTACAATCTTGTCCTATGGAAAGAATAAATCAGATCTGATGGGGAACGTCACATTTCTGTGAGACAATTGTGTTTTTTTTTTGCCATATTGTAAACCTTGTTCCTTTCAATACATCTCCCCCCTTTTGAGACTGTTTCTGACATGACTTGTTATTCTAGTTGAAGTCTAAGTGGGCAGATAATGAAAGAGAACTTTGTGAAGATGAAAGAAAAGATGTTCAAGGCTGGGCAGTTTGGTAGTGAATTGTGAAGCTTTTAAAAAGTGAAATTAAAAAGCTCTTAAGGTTTTATGTTTAAAGTAGTTCATGTTTGAAAGTTGTGATGGGAAATAGATTTAAAAAATAATCTTCCAATTACATTTTATTCTGAGGAACATTGTGTCCCATGCTTCTGATTTGGGACGTAATCATGAAACATCTTTGAAAGGGTTATTTATTAATGAGTTCATTCATAATACATATGTCTATTAATAGCTGATCTCCTGCTCCATCCGAGTTACTGCTCAAGCTCTTCAGGTCATATCAGCTGGGATAGAATTACTAACAAAGAATTGCTAACAAACCACTTATATACTAATAAAGGACAGGCCTATCTAAAGCCAGTTGAGTAGCACTTTAAATCTTTTGGCTCTATGAAACCCGATGTACATATATGATTCTGTTTTCTTCAAGGGTATACTTGTACTTTTACTAGTCCTTTATTAGAGATGTGTCGGTTGCTTGTGTTTGTTTTTAGTGTCAGGATGGAACCCTTGTCTTTTTCTCTGCAAACAGAATCTACCTACGGTTACAAATAAATAACCTGAACCTGAACCTGAACCTGATCTTCAAGTTTGTATCTTCCTGGTCGAATGCACTTATTGTAAGTCGCTTTGGATAAAAGTGTCAGCTAAATGCAATGTAATGTGATAGAATCAAGTAAATATTCAAATGTCAAGATGAATACACTGATAAATGGATCTATGAAGTACATTTCAAATGACTATTGACCTTTATTCTCTAAACAACAGCTCAATCTGTATCTATTGATTTCAGAAAAAACAGCCCTTTCCAGAGTTAGTTAAGATGATTGATTTAAACACAATGGTCGAAAACTGTGTACATTTTGACCATAAAACGGGTGAATGGTGTGAAAATCAAGTTATATTTTTGTTTTTGCAAAGGAGTAAACACTGTGTTCTAGGATAGCATTCTGTTTTTTTTTTTTGCATTTTATTAATAATAATCACTTGAGAGAATTTGACCTGAATTTAGGGAGCATTAAATACACATTTTTTGTATTTTATAGAACAAACCCTGACTTGAGAAAGCCTTTAATCTCAACCGACACTGAGAGAGCAATTCAATTAGTTCTCCTTGACATTCGTGTGACCTTGAACAAAACTGACCCCCACAAACCACTAATGGATGCACATCAGTTTGGTAATGCAGTAGAAGTCTTAAAAGATTAAAGTGGGCATGATAGCAGGAACCACCAGATCATGTTTGTAGTAAATGGCAAGTTTAATGGATACTGGCATGTGACAAGGAAACGTAACCTTCATGGAAATAGGCAACCCCAAAATGATTGTGGCTTCCTTCTCCTTTAAAGGTCACCTATTATGCAAAATCCACTTTTTCATGTCTTTTATACATCAACATGTGTCCCCTCTGCGTAAAGAGATTCTGAAAGTTTCAGGAAAAAAGATTCTCTCTCTTTTTGTCCTGATCCATTTCTATAAAAACCTGTCTGAAAATGAGCTGATCAGATTTTGGCCACCTTATGATGTCATAACGAATTTTTGGTTTGTGTAACCATTAGCCAATCACCAACCAAGGTAGCCCCCCCCCCCCC